TGTCTGAGGCCGTCGAGCATATGGTAGCATCAGCCGACGTATTTGACTTCACAACTTGCCTGAGGAGGAATGGCGATACTGGTTATAAAGAGGGATTACTTACAGGCTGTGACATACAAAAGGTGGGGACTGATGATCTTTGCAATAAGATCCTTTACCGACGCACCCCGGTGTTACTCTGCAAAGATCGGCACATGCTTTGTTCGGACTACGCAGAGCTACGACTAATGGCAGAATGGCGACCTTCAAAGTGAACATCGTAGTGAAATGCGAAACCTGTAATATAACATTCATCAGAGCAAACCTCTAACATTCAATGGCTCTGTGACGTAATAATTAGACCGACTGAGAGGGATCATCAGCTCTGCACGCATGCGCTCCATCGGAGGCGCTGGTCATGGATGCTTAGTTGCCTGGCGCGAGGAGTTGTCTCCTCTCAAGAACAGATGGTGATGATCAACATTCTTAATTTCATCCTATTCCGCTTCGAGAAGTCAACAAGCGGCTTTTCAATAGGGTGTTTAATAACCTCGTCTGCCTCCTTGGTGTTAGTCTGGCGTTGTTCGCTCGCAGGAGGCACGGAGCCAGTTTAGTTCATGGCGCGGTGCGCAGGTGGAGCGCCACCAGAAAACGTATCTCTCATACCACTAGGTATTTTTGAACTTCGTGGTTGTAGTGGACAATATCTCAAGGAGATTAAGACGTCAGAGGGTTACTTCCAGGTAGGAAAGATGGGCTTACGATACGGGATCTCGGCCACGCCTCTCGAAGCAAGAAGTATAACAAGTCTTAAGACGACCATGAGACGCCAATGATGCTCATCGGCACGCATGCGCGGAGGGAATGTTGCAAATCACGCAAACTTTGAGACACACAATACATATACAAGGAGGTGATGGCCCACCATTGGTGGGTAGGACCTTCAAGGCTCGAACAGGGTTGAGGTATACAACAACAGTATAGCTAGTGCGAGCTATAAGTTAAAGACGATCGAAGAGATGATATACAGGTCATCCGACCATACCTCGGAGGAGGGGTAGAGCTCGTGTACTTCAATGCCACTGTCTCCTATTTCTATGATACACGCATGCGCACCAGCCTGAGTATTGCTAGTAGAATGCAGACGCTTATTCTTGGCCTAATGATGTTGTAAGTGCATTATAAAGCATCGTCTTTATTTCTGGTCTATACTCGTTCTACTTGAGCCTTCTCGTTGCTCCCTGTCGTCAGTCCATGCTTACCTGTTTCCCTTATGTCTAGTATTGCCAGTCGAATTCAGGCGAATCACAACAGCACCATTTTTGAATCTAACACGCACCGGCCATTCTGGCCCACCCGAAATGGGAGGCGCAAGCTCGAATCCCGCGAAAGTGATTCTTCCAGCAATAATTTTTCCGGTGGTTCTCTACAATCGGGAAGAGTTTGAGCATGGCAAAAAGACGAGGTATGCGACGATGATACTTCGAAGGGTACGCCAATCGCAGTGCGCCCCTAGTGATACAAATGAAAAACATTTTTTCATTGAAAATATCGAGCCGTTATTCGAACCGGGGATCTCTTTCGCCCTGCACGGGCGAACACGACAGACATTCTGAACTCTGATGACTCTTATCCATCCAGCTCGTAGCAGATCTACGCACATGCACACAACGCCTCGACGGTTGTGTTTGTAGCAACTCGATCTCGCACGTTATCCATACCACACTATTCAGGCAATCGTTTGAAATGTGGAGTATGAAGGATGAGCTATAGTCAGCTGTTATATACATTCAAAATTTCAGATTAAGGAGTAAGGCTGCATGATCGTCATAGCAGAAGTGTTGTAGGTCACCATAGAAAGATGCACAAATTCGCGGCAGACGATTAAGAGAAAATTCTGGGAATTGCGGAGCGAGCGAAGCGAGCGGAGCATATACCACAACAACAGGCACTTTCGCATTGTGCGTGCGTACGTGAATGCGTGCGTGCGTGCGTGCGTGCGTGCAGAATTATTCTGGCTTAACTACGAAGCGTAGGAAACTACCAGATAGAGCAAACGAGTCCACGACATGCCGAGAGGTAGGCAAAAATCGGAAGACTCCATTATACGAACAGCTCGACGAGATATGCACAAAAAACTTTAATGACCGAAAAATGACCTACCCCGGAATCGAACCGGGGACCTATGTAAAATTCATTGATCGAATCAATAGACGTGGACTAAGTGAGCTCCGCCCCTTCGTCACGGAGGCCTAGTGTAGTTGGCCTTGCGCAACAAAGACCAGTTCCCTCGATGTAAAGAACGACTTGCTCAATCACGGATGTGATGAGTAAAGTTCCCACTCGGTGTGACTCGAGGCATCCACGAAGGTTGGAGCATTAAAAATCTTCCAGCATGTTGAGAGTGAAAGAGATAATTAATGAGCTGCGATGGAAACTGCAAATGGGCTTCATACTTTACGAATGGATAGATACAAAAGTTCTAATGAGATTAACACGGCTTGAAGGTAGCAGGTAAGCCGAATACTGTTCCATAGATCTCCTGCTTTATTGGATTGAATCTGAGTGATATCCCATCCCGTATGTCTAAGGCCAAAAGGATTACTGGAAGCTCAGACTGTCTCCCTGAGCAATTGAGCCATACGCATCCACCAATGGAGGGTAGTTCCGGTCAACGTTTAGATCAATTCCACCATTCGAGCGCTTCGTCGTGAACCTAACTCGGCAATCGGAAATCAATCAACATTGGCAAACACCTACGGTACGCCTTTCACAGATTGTAGATGAGAGCTGCTGACATCGAAAGAGCTCCCGGAAATAGTGAGTGTCTGAGACAGCACTTACCAAGTAGCTACTCAAGTAGCATCATCTCACCACAGGTAACATCATCGCGATAGTGCCACAGAATTCGCCTTTAAGCTTGGACACATCGCGAGTTGGCTCTGTCGAAACTCGAGGAGGATCTGTGGGCAAGTCTGGCAGTGCTTCTGGAAACAAGGAATCGGAGCATCGGATAGGTCGATGTTCGGGACAGGCAGGATCCCGTGGGTGGAAGCAAGGTACCCCGGCATTAGTCCAGTATCTTAAGGCAAACCTCATGCGGTATCCCCATGGTTAGTCTCGTTACAGCCCAAAACAAACAGCATCTCGTTGCCACCATTTACAGTAAGATACAAAGCCATCACGGCAAGCCGCCGTATCTTCACATCTAGCTTGACAATTAACCTGCGAGAACTTACAAGAGTTCTATAAGTGGTCGAACATTACGTCTAGTGGATGCTTCAGGGCCGACACTATTTCCATACCAGCCAGTAACCGAGAGATAAGAAAATGCATGGCGCGAGCAATACAGGACACGAGCTCGATATTGATAGATTGATAACTCGATCCCACTGAGACTGGGAAGAGACTAACTGCAGTCGCTGACTACGGCGATCATGAATGACAATATGAATTCTTCAGCGTACTTTATACTTTATGAGCTGCGACACTGAGACAGGCGATATCATGAATAACTGACTCTCTAGTGAACAAGATCAGCATGGAGTAGCGATAATCTTGGCGCCTTGTACAAGGCCTCGGATCTCACCCTTTGATGAGTCATATCTGAAATTGAAAGTGCCATTGAGAAGGCCGCTACGCGGTGCTACACAACATAAAAGGGATTTCCTCCACCCTTCACGCTGAGGACCTTGGAGAATGGGGGAGAGCGGTAATCCGGGATAATACACCCACTTGCACTCAGAGAATAGCTGAAGAGAAAAGTAAAATCACCTTCTCACAAAAAGAACGTACGGTATCCCTTCGATGTCTTCGTCGGAAACTCCCGCAATGTCGAAAGTATCCTCCTCGAAATACATAGACTGAAGACATTTACATGGCCAAACCAGAACGTGCACATACAACTCACCAGAGAAATGACCCCGCCCAGAAGACCGCAATACCAACCACGTGGTCCCGACGGGTAAGGTGTCTCCTCAGCTACCATAATGGCAGCGACAGCAGCTTGATCCATAGCACCATTGAAGACATCAGCGGTAGTGGTCCTCATGGTAGTCGGCTCGGTCGGAGGCGAAGTGCTAGCAACGTATCGTAAACTTGTAGTAGCAGTAGTAGACTCGATCCACATCATGGTCTCCATGGTCATCGTTGTGGTAGAAGTGATGGTATCAGATGGAGGCAGGGTAGTGACAGTATGATCATCTTGCTTAGGAGCATGCGGCGCTACTTCATCGCAAAGGACAGGATATTCGGCAGGGCAGGAAGGGTCCGCGGGCTGATAGCACATTTTCCCACCTCCCGACCAATACCTGCTCTAAAGTTATAGTGGGCGATATAAGAGGAAGCCCTACAAACCGAAACAGGCCTTAGGAACATGCCAGTCTTTGCAGTATGTGCCTCTACTAGAACACTCGGGTATCCCTTCACAGACGGCTTCACAAGATACCTGACAGCAAAACTACAGCAACAGAAGGCGCGTGCAAGTCCTACATCCAGGACGTCGACGCGAGCTGAGGCGACGAGCAATGCGGCAGATACGATGGGGAAATAGACCATGATGACCCCGACGGGGTAGGAAGGATCGACTGGAAGGAATAACGGTCATCCAGCCAGGCGAAATGACCCGAAAGTCAGAAACCGCGAGATGGGGCCCCCAACAGACATAAGATCGAGAAGCGGCTCGAAGGCCCTCAGGATAGGTAACCCCACGACGATACAGACAACGGCATATAGCGACTGAGAAGTGAGGCAAAAATGTGCAGAGTAAGAGCCGGGCCTATAAGGTCAACGAATTGCGGATCCGAGAAATTGAGATCAAGAGAGCCAAAAGAGAAGGTGAGGGTTGACGGGGAAAAACCTGACATGGAGCATCTTCACGAGAGAGGCGGCAGCTTACTCGATGTTTATGGAAAAACATCTCCACCGCATTTGCAAGGATCAGTGATGGCCGTCGCGTTGCCCATACAGGAGCTTGCTAGGTTCCCCTAGGGGCAGAGTCACGTCGAAAGGCATGTGAGTAGAGATGATGCGGGCTTGTTGGTGCAGAACCCTGGCGGTGTCAGATATCTTCATTGGGAGAGTATCCGAGAGCACATGTCAGTAGTGAGGTAAGTCATACCGCACTCACAAACCGAAACATGTAGGTGTGGTCGCCCAATAGCTGCAGTAAGTACAGTCGACGAACGAAGCACCACCGACTCACCGTGAACATTGAAGCACGGACAGATTCGACATCGTAAGCGGTCGGCATTTCTTGAGCTAAGGGAGGCGTCAAAAAGTATAGCTGAATACGCTGAATTCATAGTTCGCTCGCCAGGACGGTTTCGTTCGAGTACGAAGGAGTTTCACGCGCAGTTACAGTTTGTAACTGTAACTTGTAACTCACAAGTCGGCCCAAGTTGGTAGAAGTTCTCATCATGAAGTGACTCGAACGCGCAGGCATAATCGTAAGTTCTTCCATCGATCGTATTTTATCCACGTTCCAAATGGTCAGACCCCTCAGATCTCGAGGGAGCCCCAATTCAAGCAACGTCTCTTCACAAACCATGATCAATAACTTCCAACTTCAAGTGATGTCCACTTCCTACTCAAATAATTTGTTCATACCTGTAGCTGGCGAGCGCTGGCGAGCACATGTGCACGCCAGGAGGCGGGCGCGTGGAGCCAGCTATGTCACGTCACGTGACGCGGTCACCAAGGGGACTGGGAGACGAGACGGTTGTGTGGCTTAGAGCCCCTCAGATAGCTTTGCTACAAGTTAATCACTCTTTACATGTCGAGTTTGTCACCTCAGAGTCCGGAGGCTACCAACAATACCCCGACTTGTTATCCGAGTGCAAACGGGCTTCGCCTATGGAGAGTGTAATCCGCGAGTATAGTAACAAACTCAGGGAGTGAGGAAATTACTTTCGCAGAAAGGGACATCAATTTAGCGGTGGTCGGGGAGCCGACCAATCAATTTCGCAGATGAGGACAATAACTTCAGGTTGCATTCTCTATCGAGATGTATACTGCAAAGCTGCCGCATAACTCGGTACTCAGAACTTCTGGGCCCAGAAAACACGGTAATAGTTCATTGCAGCTATGCGAAATGGCATGAATGACACAAAAACATACCTCACGGCTTATCACGCGATGTGGCTCACGCGGCGTGAGCCGCAGCTTATGGTGACGTGAGAAACGCGTGGCAGTAGGGCGTAAGTGACGCCTCGTTGTTTCACGGTACCTGAGTCACGGGGCATTCGAGCAGAACTTCTAAGTACGCACAGATGCCAGGACATCGATTCTGCAGGTGGCATAATAGTAATCATGTCCCTCCCAGTCCAAGACCGAGACCTCTGGTAGAGTTTGTTATTCATGGTGCGGAAACAATGATAATCGTGCCTCTCACGCCATACACTCTCGGATGCGTGAGTGACGTCATCATTGACATATTAGTATATTTATGAGTTATGTCACGGGCAGACACAGCTCATGCACACGGAAACTTTCCGTCGGAAAGGATCAAAACTTCGAGAGATATATCCTGGTGTCACTCACGTACTATTTGATCAAAGAAGGAGTTGCTTGTAATTAACGACCCTTTCAATTGATCAAAGAAGAAGCATTCCACAGTCTCAGCAGCAACTTGTAAGAAAACTGCTATTCGAGGCGTAGACGGGGCTGTACGAGGAGGAGGATCCCTAATCCAATCGTCGTCCCTTTGGCCTAAGCGGAAACACTTCGGGACAACGTGCATGTCACCTACTCATCACCGAAGCTATGGACCCAGTACATGCGTGCACATCGCATAATCAACCTAAGTTGCAGTGTCGTTCTTCAGGAGATGCGATTACTCCCGAGCTGTCGTTAGTTATCATTGCTCACGATAATGTTCAATCTGGTGGCCGTCGCCATTCTCCCTCTTGTCGCCGCTCAGCCGAGCAATCCGGCATGTCAAGATCTTTGCCTTTCGATACCTGGCTGTGCTGCTGCAGGAGGCTCTTATTGCAAAGATTATCAGTCAATACCTTTTGTATGCCATGGCCTGTGAGTAGCATTCTTATCGGGCCATGTCGATATCCCCGCTCAGGCACTTCATCAAGTCGAGAACCTCGGCTAACGCTACCGCATGCTCGACCTCCGCTACCAAAAACTGCCCGGAAGACTATCCAGTGCGCTGTGATGATATCTCACCTTGTGAGGGCTCCTCACATCGTATGTATGTGACATCTGTGTTCTTTTCAGTTGGCAGCTTGTTCCCTATTTTCCCAATCAGGGCGAGCGCAAACTTGGTTGCCCGAGAAAGTAGGAGTCCGGCTAGAGGCATTTTCTACTTCGAGCAGGTTGGACATGCGAGGACCAAGATCACTTACGACGTGTCTAACCTGGAGCCTGGTTCTCAGCACGGCGTCCACGTCCATGAGTTCGCAGACTTTTCAAACGGTTGCGCCTCCACCGGTGGTCACTACAACCCCTTCTACAACACTCATGGTGATCGCAACTCCAGAGTTAGACACGTTGGAGATATGGGTAACATCAAAGCCGATAGAAATGGCAGAGCTAGAGGCTCCTTCTACCACGATCTGATTGTGCTCAATGGTCCAACATCATCTCTCAATCGTGCAGTCGTTCTGCACGCTGGCCAGGACGATCTGGGACAGGGTGGTAACGCCGGTTCAAAAACAACCGGTAACTCCGGCGCTCGTTTAGCCTGTGGGCCGATTGCTCTCGACAAGAGTGTGTTTCGCGGCAACTAGATTACGAAAGGTAACTAGATTGCGCAAGAATTTTTAAGATGACGCATGGGACAGATAGCCACTGGCGTTGATCGTCACAGTTCATACTGAGCGAGTGGTATCCCCATCCTAGCTTTTTCGGGTTTCAACTATATTCAACCGGCTGAGCCGTATTTTCTCCTACGGATTTTTTCCCATTTACCACTGTTCCGTTGTTAATGGAGCGAGTACTTGACGGAGATAAACGAGGCCTCTTTTCACACTAGTCAAATACCTAGTATATAAATAATAAATGCTGCATCATACTTATCGAGTGTAGTAATTGGTTGGATTAGAATATCAATTTCGCGGCAATTTCAAGCCGTTCACGGCGCGTATGCCTTGAATCCTGCCCGGTCAGCATTGGCACGTCCTTCTGGTGTTGAGTTCAGTTAGTGCGACGTAGTTCCATCGTACTCGAGCTTTCACGACTTGCATGACTCCGACATCCATACATTGAGCCTTCACGCTCAGGCTGCACGATCACCGATCGTTATCTACATAAGACAGCGCGAGGCACGACTGACTACATTACAATTGCACTGAGCGGTTTAGATAGTAGTGTGTAGATTCTGTCTCAGCAGTTCTCTTGCAAGACACAATAATGCCCTTCATCGATCAGCAATCGATGAATTTCCACTCCCCGCGGCTCAGACGATAATAGTCAGATCGACGGCCTGAACTAGGCCTCGCCCTGAACGGAGCCATCCCTGTTGAGATCTCGCCCGCGTTGGTGCAGTTTGAGCCTCTTCATACTCATTGCCCAGCAGGATCTGCACCTGAGAATTCTATGTCCACCAACGAGTGTAGGTTCTTCTGGAAAGTACGCTTTGCGTTCTCAGACATTTGGTACTTACACATGTCGATTCCTCAGTCTACATCTGTCGCTTGAAGGCGGGTATCTCGATGCGGGCACCACAATTGACCTACTGCACCATAAGCAGCCGATTGAGAGCGAGAAGTTATTTAGAGGCTCGGTTCGTTCATCTCACGGAGATTTCTCTGAAATTCAGTCTCGATGAGGCGCTTTTCTCAAATAACTCGTTATCATCGCACTCCCTAGGGCTGTGCGTCACTGCGCGTTGTGCGTGCATCCGTGGTGAACTGTTTTGCGATAACTGCGCCGCTTCAGAAGGCGAACGAACTATCAATAAATTCCTCCTTATTCAGAGATGTGCTGAAAATACAGAAAAGACTGTTTGCCGGGAAAATGGAATCTTGAGCAATAATGGCGCGCCAGTGGCGCGCGAATCCCTGGGGCGGATTTGCACGAAGCGCTCGAAATGATCGTTAAACTTGTTCTTGCGGTTGAAACAGCATCACGATGGGCTAGTGAGCTCCGTTTCTCCGTCACGAATCCCTAATGATGCATAATATATAGGTATTATAGATACTGTTTTGTGGATACTATAATAGGTATAACGGGTAGGTATAGCAGGTCCAGGAACCCTGACCCGGGTGATTTGAGCTAGCACAGCCAATAGTGTGAGCCGATGGTGTTCATAATTTTGTCGTACCGCTATGGGGCCGATATGCCATGACATACGCCATACCGCTATGGGGCCGATATGCCATGACTTACGCAATACCGCTATGGGGCCGGTATTCCACGAATTACGCCATACCACTATGGGGCCGGTATGCCACAACTTACGCCATACCGCTATGGGGCCGAACACTCTCCCATGGCTCATGAGAGAATTTTTGGGCAGGTGCGACCTCTTTTACGAGTGAGTTGAGCCTGTGCGGTCAAAGTTTCAACATATCGGCTAAACCCGACTTGTCTTGTTGTTCGTCAATTATGGGCTAGTTTTATAGTACAACAATTGCTACGTGGCGTCCTCTTCCTGGTAAATTGTGGCGCGAACACTATATTCTGAGAGTAGGCAGCCTTAAACTGTTTATTGGATGTAGTGAAAACATGTACGAGGTTTTGGGTAAGGTAACTGGCTGTAATTTCCTAGCAATTTGCTGTTTTCATATGGTCCCGACAGATGCGACGACTCTGCACGAACCGGCTACCAATCTCTCCGGAGATCGTACAACCCTTTTGAGAATCGCGGACAGCATCGATACTTTGAGAAGCAATGTGAGTGACCTACGCTCAGAGGTTCGCTCAATGCAGGGTCGACGACTCCTCGGCGATAGCACTGGAACAGCTAGCTTGCCCGCGGTGTCTATCGAACCAGCAAGGAGGCACTCTCAAGTCACGAAGTCTCGAACGAAGTGTACTCTGCCGGAGAACATTGCCAGCCACAATGATGAAACCGTGCTGATAGAAGATGATTCAGCGGACGATGTTGGTTCGAGATTGAAAACTCATTTGAAAGGGACTTTCGTGATCGTGACCAGCGTCTTCACAATCGGCTGCTGCTTTTGCCGACGCCGAGTCCGTAGACCTCAATATCTTGATACCTCGGACGTTACCTGGGCTACCACGATACGCTCAGCTATGACTGGGGAGAGTATGCGGAGCAACTCGTCGATACTGGATGATAAATGCATACAAGTGTCACTTCCGATCATTTTACCTGACTCAGTCTTTCGCACACTATGGGACCTTACAGGTTTCCTTTTGATCGTCTCTGATGCGATAAGTATCCCCTATAGAGTCAGTTTTAATGCCAAGCCGGAAGGCATATTCCTGTTCACTGAGAATTTCATCACAGTGTTCTGGCTTCTGGATATTCTACTCAACTTTTTCACAAGCTATTACCGAGGATCGGAGCTCATCACTGATCCCGTTATGATATGGAGGCACTATATCAGAGGTTGGCTTTTCTTCGACCTTATCGCATCCTTTCCATTCACGTGGTTGGCACCGGAATCAAGCGGAGTGTATGACTCTGGGAGGTGGTTCAGGCTTCTGCGTTTCACGAGGTTCCTCAGACTATTTCGACTTCTACGTTTGGCCAAGCTCATAACCATCTTGGGTCGCATTGAAGAGATTTTAGAGGTCTTTCCGATAGCCCATTTTGCGGCGTCAATAAGCAGAATGATACTCTGGATAGCCCTCCTAAGTCATGTCTCTGCCTGCGTGTGGTTCAGTGTGGGCCTTCGATCCCTGTCTTGTGATAAGCCTAGCGAGAATCTTCTACAGTGCGATTGGGAGGGATCTTGGATGAGAGCCCTCGACCGGTCTGAGTTTGAGAATTCTGACAACCATCTTTTGCTGTTGTATCTCAACGCGCTCTATTTTACTTTGAGTACGATGACTACAGTTGGCTATGGAGACATCCATCCGGTGTCTTCGGGTGAGAAAGCGTTCACTGCATTCTTCCTACTGGTCTCTATTGTTGCCTTCTCTGGTATGGTTGGTGCGGTAACGGAGGTAGTTCATCAATTCTTCGGCAAAAATGTTCAGCACAAAAGTGCGATGCTCAATCTAGGACGCTACATGAAGTGGCGACGTTTGCCATATCATCTTCAACGTAGACTGAGACGCTATATGCAGTATCGATGGGAGCATGGTGGTTTGAACCTTGGCTTTAGAGAGTCGGATATAATGAAAGATCTCTCCCCTGCTCTCAGAATCGCCGTCTTAGCACGAGTGTACGGTCCTCCTCTCAAAGAGGCACGCCATTTCAAGTGGCTTATCCGCCACCAATTGGCGTTCGAGCGACTATTAGCCAAAGTGAGGTTCGCGACTCATGCTCCAGGGGATGTTCTATTCCTCGACAGCGAGCTGGATGATTCCCTCTACTTTTTGCAAGTCGGCCAACTTGGCCTCTTCTATTCGGCAGAAAATGGTGAGGGATACCAGGAGTGCGTCGTCGTTAAGGCACCTGCCCATGTTGGCCTTACAGCTCTACGGTCCCTCGCTACTGCAAACCCTCTCGAGCGCGGCAATATTTTGCGACCATGTTCAGCACTGTGCTCAACCCACTGTGAGATGCTCATTATCGTCATAAACGATCTGCGAGATCTGTTGGATTCTATGCCCAAATTGTGGCCAGAATTTTCCAGTTGGTACCGTGATGAGCAACCGAGAGTTCGGTTTTATGAAGAAAAGACCGACGAAGTAGACCGAGATTAGAGCTCGATAATACTGTTGTTTTGAGCTCGTGCATATTTGTCAATTTTTGTTTGAGAGAATGCACGTCGTGCATTGCACGATGACATGATAAATCCTCATGTTGTTCTCTTTAACTGTGGTTGAGTTGATTGTCGTTTCCACATGAGGATGGCAAGATGCAGGGCCCAGAAAATTCGGCCCTCTACGATACTTCGACGATCCGTGACGAGCATGCTCACCGACGTTGAGTACTCGACCAACGCCTCCTTGAATCGGCTACTACCGCACCCCCGGTTTCGCTAGATTCAGCAGAGTGTATAGAATAGGAGGCCGTATGATATCGCGGACCAGGCGGTTCTGACTGAGGGAATTCTCAACATTGAAGTGCGACAGTTCACAAAATCCTATCCATTCGAGTAACTCCAACTAGGATTGCGATTCGCTAGACGACTCCCAATTCATGACATGAGAATGCCTAGACTGCAGTCAACCATTTGCAAGACTGAAAAGGAGACTAGTTTCAGAATACCAGTCACTGACAATCACTCATTATGATGAATCAAGGCAAATTGCAATATGGAAAGCTACCAATTGCGGGTGTAACACCCGGGTTGTTATCGCCGAAATCCATTCAGGGATAAACACCAACGAATGGAATCGCATAGCAGCTTTTGCAACTGTTATATAGAGACGTATCCTGACTTCTTACTGGCGCCAAAGCAGCCTTAGCTGCTCAATCTTGTAATAAAATAGCTCTTATGTTGACTTCCAAGGCTGAAAAGGGTTCTCTATATGAATAAAAGAGTGTCGAGTAGTCACACGCGTGAGAATGAATGATTGCAGGTCCCGTTGGAGACCGAGAGCATCTCATTGAATACTTCATGTGGGAGGCCATTATGCTCGTCGAACCGATCTCATGGGTCATAATCTGACCGTCATATCACCTCAATCACAGAGTAGATTGACGAACTTCGGATGGGCAATGCTCACTGTTGGCTCTCAGGGCGGAGACCTCCATGAAACCTCTCGTTAAATCTGTCTTCACAGTCTCATACTTCGCATTACATATACGAGGTCAGAATATCAAAAGGCATAGTTGATTCAATGGTGGCTGCCGAGGCATATGACTCCACGAAGCCTGCACAAGCAAATTGCGCCTTAAACTGAAGTAGCAAGTAGCCTCAAGTAATTGATGAACATTGAGTACTTGAAACACTTTGACTTCATTTACTGGAAGTATTGACCCTATTTTGATTCAAAAGTTGTGTGTTGTATTCAGCTGCCACGATTTGTCAGTACTGCCAGAGGCAGATAGTATAGCTTGCGTTACCGAATTTGAGTTGAAGCAGATAAACTAACACGAAGAATTGCTCACAAATAAGAGGCGATCATCGTTATTCGAAAATCACAGCTGATCTTGTGCATGCATTCTAGCTTGAGTGCACAAATAACACTTACCTGTCGTGCGGGGTTCAGACGATTGTGTCGGCTCGTCATTCTCACACATCCGCCCAGCGGCGGTCTAGTGATCATCACCTATTCACCATCAAGCCCAAAAACCGGAGCCACAACATTGACTCCTATAACACTGGGTGGGAAATGATGATTGAATGAAATGAGATAGCTTTCAAGAAGTTGAAGTCCTCTGGATAAGCCAGATAAACTCGTGAGATGCTCATGAGCGCTTTACCACACCACACTCACCAGGGACACAGTCCATTAGTTGCTTCAATATGAGTACCATTTACAGACAATATGAACTCCTCTAGCTTGCCGCTGTAGGGGATCTTTTCCCATTCGGCTTTATTGAAGTGCATAAGGTTAACGAAGCCAGTGAAGTTCTTGTTAGTGGTATTCATAAATAGTGTGGTTTTTTCAGCGTCAACTGTCCAAGGAATGGTACCAGTGGCGCCAATTATTCGATTCCCTCCGTTTGAGTAGCAATAACTCATCACGAGTAAGTCAGGATAACCTGTGGGGAACAAGATAACCATAGTAAAATCCTGGTTCCAGCCGGTGCAGTAGTTCTTGCTGGGTGGGAAGCACTTAACCATCGATAAGGTGCCCAGAATGGCGATGATCTTCTTGAAAGACATCAGGACGGAGTGATTACGAGACACTGGAAGATTCAACTGACTCGAGTGATCCTTTTCCTAGTTGGAAGATGAAGAAATGACCCCTCAAGTTGCTAGCGAAAAACATCGCCAATATCATATACGATTAGGCTCATAATGATAGGGTATTCGCTGCGATAACTGCACCTGTTCCTGCTTCTACCCATTGTGCGCGATGGCACGTATGTGCATAGCTAATGAGGCTCTCGCTAACTCCCCACAAGCTCTTGAGGAACTCATCAAATATCTAAGCCTTCCTGACTTGGACTCCCTCTACTTCGTCACCGAAACTGATCTCTTGAACTACTCTCAACTACATCCTCTTGACCTACCTACCCGTGTCAAGTTCCAACAAGCTCTCAGACACTAACTAACTCATTCACTCCACAATCAATGTTATAGTACTATCCATCATCGATCGACTTCATTCGGAGGGGAAAGTGTTACTGCTTCTACCCATTGTGCGCGATTACACGTATTTGCATCATCCATCCCCCGAATAGATTAAGACGGAGGGCTTTCCAACTCCTTCCAACTCCTGTTATATACTTTGAGTCACGACGTGGAAAAGTACGACGGGACCCGTCGGACGGGTAGATCCGAGGAGCACATTAGCACTGCTCATCAGAGCGTACACGTCACGCGAACAGTGACCATGTGCTGGAATGAACTGCATATCATCTGAGGAACTACCGAACTACTAAAGTTTAGTAGTTTGAAGTTAGTATCTAAGCTGCTCGAACTACCGAACTACTGAACTACTTGAACTACTGAACGGAGTTCTTTATCGCTCTTTACTTGTATCAGGGTACTACACGGAGGGTTCTACACAGATGGAAGTCGAACTCCAGGCTGTGGGCCGCTTGGAAGGGACGCCAAGGTCGGCAGCGGAATAATAATGATCGACACCTCTGGTAGAGTCACCGGCTGCTGGAGAAGGAAACATACGCCACACGGCACCGTATACCAGGCCGAGGCGCACGGCATAGCCTATGCCTGCCAGACAGCCCTGGCCATGCTCAGGAGCGGTTCGCCGGACCTTGGGGCGGCCGTAGAAGTTGTGTCTGACTGTCTTTCTGCTCTGAGAGAGATAAGCCGAGGAGGGGCGGACAAGCTGGTGCCGACGATAATTTTCGAAGCGCGCGTCTGCGCCAGGGATCTGTTGGAGGCGGTACAAGCCAGGGGGATGACGTTTAGACTGCGGTGGGCGAAAGCCCACATTGGGCACCACCATAATGCCTTGGCAGACCTGGCTGCCCGACAAGCAGCTCACACAGGTGTGATGGACGGATGGAGGGTCCGAACCCCATGGGCGCATGTACGGCAGAAGGTGAGAAACTGGCATGAATTCCGGGTGATCGACCCGCAATGGAAAAAGAGGAAGGTGGGGCTCAAAGGATGGCGCTCAAGTAAAGTAGATCTGGGGAGAGCCCACAGGAAGCTTCTCGAGGGCGTCAGCAAGGGGGACGACCGCCGCAGGATAGTGGAGGTGATAACGGGGCACGGGGCTCACAAGGCTCACTTTGCCAAGCTTCAATCCAGAGTGGGAGGATCCTCCAGAAGTTGCCCGTGGTGCGGGGCCGCTGAGGAGAGTGTGGAGCACGTCATCTACGTCTGCCCGGCCCACGTACGCACACGGCAGTGGGTGAAGCGGAGGTTGGGGTACCTGCCGGCGAAGATCGCCGGCTTTCTGACGGATAGGGGGAAACTTCATACCCTCGTATGGATGTTGCGAAGGATTTGGCCAAACACCACTGCTCGGGGTGGTGGTGTACTGCGCCAGGCAGCGACGCGACATTCGTGATGGCCCCTAGGGGCAATGAGGGGCAACCTGTACCGCGCTATATGAGTGTACTCTTGTAGAAGACAATTGTCACCATTTGATACCATTGATACCATTGTAGTTCGTATGCGTTTGTTCATTCCTCGTTTTCTGCTATACTATTGTTCTGCACGTTATATATCTACTGGTGGCTCGACCCTTCCCCCCCCACAAAAAAAAGGAAAAAAAGGAAAAAAAAGGAAAAAAAAGGAAAAAAAAAGGAAAAAAATAGAAAAAAAAAGAAAAAAAAGAAAAAAAAAAGAAAAAAAAAGAAAAAAAAAGAAAGGGGGGCCTTTGAGGGGAAGACATCCACCGGCGGCCGCAGGCCGAGCAGCGACAAGGCCGCACACCCGAAAGGGTCGGCAGAGGCTGCACAACAACAACAACAACAACAACAACACGGAGGGTAGTGTGCCTTGTGCTAGCACAATGTGCACTATTCAATGCACACATGCGTGCAGCCGCTGGTGAGCACAATGGGCGTCTGACGATAGTCCTTGACCTTATCATACTCCTCAAGAGATGTTGCATACTAGCTCCGCTACCTATCTGTAGCTATCACGAGCCTGTGCTTCTCTCTTGGAAGTAAACATGTACCGTACCAAGTTTCGATCACTACACCCCTCCACATATTCTCAGCATATCCGGTTCTTCGACTCGTGCACAGTCACCTCAACGAATTCCATCTTGCGGATCAAGGAGGGGTGCTCTTCTGATACACATGATATGACCTTCAAGTTTCAGGGCCTAACTCTTCGTAGTTAGTGAGGAGTAAAAAATCACGTGAATGATGGAATTCATCCCTCTACCATTTTGATTATAAACCAAAGATTTTGAGTTGTGCAAGTTATGCGGGTTGGAGTTGGTAATTAGGATTGCTGCAGGTCGATCGCAGCTTCTACCGAGATTGATGTTCCTATATGCGAAAAAGGACTTACTATTATGTCTAAATCAAGTTCCTTCATCGACTTGCCAACGAAATTAATGTTCCTAAAC